AAGAGACTTATGCAGTAGAAGTGAACTAAGCTGTTGTGATGTGGAACACCCCTTTCAGCTAGCACAGCTGAAAATTATTATCTTTTCCATCCATGTATTACTGTTCGTCAGCTGAGGTTAACACTCTTATCAGGCAATGCAAACATGGTCTTCTTCACTGCAGTGTCAGACCAGTCTGATGTTCAGGACGCCCTGACCTGACTGGTTTGCCCTAGCACTGAAACGGTCGAGGCAGCACTGGGTGGACCCCTTTGGCAGGGAAGAGGGGCATCTCCAGGGGAGGAGCAAGAGCTATTCACACCATGTCAGCTTTTTTTTTCTGTTTTTCCCCAGAAATGACCATGTCAGTGCATCCTAAGAAAACATGCTGAGAGAAAAGGGGGAGGAAGGATCAGCTGGGAGACCTGCTGGTGCAGGAATCCAGCCCTTCCACTGAGAGGCTGCTCTGCCCTGCCCTGCTGCGGCTGTGTAACCAGGCACCTTCACCCTGTCATAAAGTTTGCAGTGTTGGGTTTTTTTTAAAAAAAACAACCTTCCTCCATCAGGAAAGATTCAGTGCTGTGATTCTGAGCAACCTATTGTGAATTAAAACGAGCTTCTGCACTGGATGAAAAATAAGACAACTGTAGTCTTTCCTGTTGCATCTAACTGAAAACAAAAAGTTATAGAAATACTAATATCTTAGCAATTTTAAGAGTACAAAAATCATAATTAGCTGCTCATTCCTATTAAAAATAAGTTGCAAACAATAACAGTATAGCGGAAGTAGTAAAGAAACCAATTAACAAGTTAACTGTGCTTGTAGATGGGATTGAAATCCTGTTAAGAGAGCCATGTGAAACTAGTTGGTATTTCAGACTGCCCAAGCAAGGACAGTTAAGATCATTGGGACTTTCCACTGTGCTTGAAGGTTGGAAGACTTCGTCTACGTTTTCGACCAATACTTGTGAGTAAACACAAGTGGCAAGTTTTTTACGTATTGCTTAACGAGCAATACATTTCCCAGTCTGCTTGATGCTTGATCTGTTTACAGCTCAAGTTCTTTTCCCTACATTTCCATGGATGTCCATGGATGCAGGACTTAGACCGAGCTGCACAGGGGCCCTGAAGTTCACACCTCTGTGAAGTTGCTGGCCCAAGCTGGACATGGATGTCCTTGTTGCTCCATTTGCCCACGGCGTGTCCTGGAGGAACGGAAGGACCATACGCAGGGCCCAGGGAAGGGAAAGTAAGGGTGTCATCCTGCAGCGTGGCACTGCCACCACCAGTGACATGACACACGCTTTGCACTGTCCTTTGTGCAGGGCCTCGGGGCTGAGGTTTGCCACACTTGCCCTGGCTGGTCTTCTCTTGGCCTGCCCCCAGCTCGGTGTTCCTTGGGTCACCTGTGATGGCAGTTTCTTTAATTCACCCGGTGTCTATTGCTAATTTGTTTTATTTATTTTTTTTTTCATCCTTCAGTGTTACAACCCCAGGTTTTTTATAGCCGGCAGTAACAAACCGCCGTTCTGTGCAGAACGAGATATTTATGGTCGTACCGTAGCGATGCAGCCCAGAGAAGCACACGCCTGATACCCTATCAGCAGCCTTGGGAGGTGGAGACAAGGATGTGGCCTAGAGGAGAATACCGGCGTGGGGGCGATAAGAGATGGGGCACAGGCTCAGCGCCGGGACCCCGCTGCTATAAACAATTCACCCATGGTCAATTACAGCAATGCACACCCAGAAGGGGATAAAACTGGGTTTAAGGGTAAAAAAAGAAAAAAAAGAAAAAAAAAAAAAGGACAACAAACACGTGGTCTCTAGGACAAACACGTGGTCTCTAGGATTTGTAAATGTATGTAGTAAACTGAGACGCACCGTGGAGCTGCAGAGTGAAGGAAGAGCAAAGCATAGCAGCAAACATGCAAAAATGATGCTGAAGTGGATGTGGGAGGGAGGAGGAGAATGGATGGTGGTGAGCCCACCAGCGCTGCCGGTAGCAGGGGAAGTGCCAGGGTGAAGCGGGGGGATGCTGCGGCTCTGCAGGGATGATGGTGGAGGAGCAGGGTGGCTCATGGGGAGAGCAGGTGGCTGGGACCCCAGCCCGACCCATCCCGTCCCCTCTGGCCACATCCTGCACACAGGGAACGGGATGGGACATGGACAATCACCCCCTCCACTGCGGTGGAAGAATGGGAAGAGAGGTCGTTGTTCCTAAGGATTAGAAAGAATCTAGTGAAAACCTAGCAAATTCAGAACGGCTTGAATTTTAAAGGACATAATAAAAAAGACAAACTAAACCTCATCCATCTCCCTGTGTAATTCCTGAAGCTTAAACACGACAGGTGATACAAACAAATGGCATGATGTGTAGTACGGAGATCATTTTTGTTATTTTTGAGTTTAACAGAGCCTATAAAAACATGTGGAATGTAGAATACAGTGGAGAAAACACTGTTTTGGAAAGGCAACTTCTGTAGACGTTTGTTCTTGACGGTGCAGATGTGATCAAATCGTTGCAATTTGCCTCAAGGAAAGAAACCCCTCCACCTTCGCTAGGGAAGAAAATGTGTGGTTTTTGTTGATGAGATCGATGCCGAGTACGTACCGAGCACTGAGCACATCTTGGAGGCGAGGAGCGAAGTGTTGTTATCCTGGGAGTTATTTTGGCTTTGAAGCAGGCCCAGATGTGGATGGCTGCCCCACAACCATGAGGACCACCATTTCCTCATGCGAAGGTGCAGCTCACTGCCCACTGTGTCCCTCTTGGGACCTGCATGGGGAGAAATACTAACGCTTGTCCTTGCCAGACCCTTCCTTGGCCCCTCAAGCATCCCTTGGCCACGCCACTGTCCATGACACCACCAGCCCAGGACAGGGCTGAGCAGTGTCCGCCTGCTCCCTCCAGCCTCCTGCACAACCTCACTTTAAGGCAGTTCCTTGGAGAAGGCCATCCTTGACATAACCAGCAGTAACACAAACACCGAAAGCATCCAGCCATCAGTTCACTACGGGCAGCTTCTGCTGCAGCTCTCTCATTTACCTTTCCTTCTCATTTTGGCAGGACGCAAAAACAAGACTTAGCGCCCCAGGCTGGACACAGAAGAACAGACCAGAAAAAAATCAGTTAAATAAATATTCGAGAAGAGAAAGCAGCGATCTTGTTGGGAGAGGAGGATAAAAAGGTGGCCCTTGGTTGTTACCAGTGTCATTGTGTGTGAACGGAAGGGAGGAGGGGGATGCAGAGAAGGTGTCCTGACAGTCAGCAAGGGTGGAGGTGCACGTTCCCACCCTGCCCAGTCCCTACCAGGGGCTCCCTGGAACAACGCGGGCAGAAGACAAGGAGAGACAAAGCTGTGTGCACTGACTAAAGATCTCTGACACTACCACTGAGAGCATCGCAGGGAACATCCCACAGAGGAAGAATAAGCTAACAAGACGAGCTCTACAGAAGTTTCCCAACTGCAGAGATGCCCCATTAACAGTGAAAGGAAAAAAAAACAAACAAAAAGAAACACAAAAACTTCACAGTATATTGAAAGTCATTGTGGGAATTTTGGAGTATGTGATTGGTGAGCAAATACTAAAAATAACCATCTAAACTATGACAGTAAGTGTGTAAGCCATTCATGGCTTGTTCCCTTATGACTCATGGTTGAAGCTCTTCTTACTACATCTCTGACCTTTTTTTTCAAATGGAAAATGATCAGTTGGGTACTTCAGAGATGAATGTTTCTAAAGACAACAGAGTTCTTCCATTACATGAGGCACTTACCAGACAGAAGGTATTTTGATCGCTTTCTCTATGAGAAATGGAAGCATAAGCGGCACAAATACAAAAGTATTATATACAATTCTGCATTTACATGATGTTCATAACTCAATTCATAACACTGATGGTAATCGTTTGACTAATTTTCATGCAGGGCTAGGTGTCATTTTTGCAATTCAAAACATGAGGCAATTGCGAAGGGAAACTGTCACAATGTGGCTCAACAGTAGACCCACCTCAGGCAAACGCCAGGAATACTGCTAGACCAAAAGCAACATTGTGAGTAGATTGTTCTTTCTTTTTACCTTGCTTTAGTTTACAGAAATAGTTAAATTTCTGCAAATTTCCTCAAGCTATCTAAAACTACTCATGATGTGAAGAATAACATAATGTCTGGTAATGTATCTACGGGGAGACTGAAGAGCACTATCATATTGAACACATGACTTCATAAATTAATCAAGGGAGACACCAGCTCCTTGCAGTGAAAGATTAACAATGTCTCCTTCCTCAGGTCTTTGGAAACAAACTCCAAACTCATTTATTTCAGTAAAAGATAAAATAAATTTTTAAAGCTTCTGATATGGGAATGGCCTTTTTATTTATTTTTTTTCCAGGTTGATACACCTTTTATCCTAAAGCAAATGTTAGGTGTGTGACAAGTAACACACCACTAGTACTGAAAACACATTTCTGCTTATCCAGACACATCAGCCAAGCATCCATGTAGCACGAGTCCATTTTTCAGGATATCTGCTGCATGTCCTAGAATTATGTTTTGAAAGATTTTTAATTCCACCTTATCTTGTTGCATTTGCTCATTTCGCATTCACCCAGATGCAGCCAACATACCCTTCTAAAGCTAAGAGCAAAGAACGATGACGGCAGGAGAAGGCACAGGGCAAGAACTTCAACTCTAAATTGGAGAAGTGAAGAGCAGAGAGTCAAAAGCTTCAAACTAAGTTTTCAGAACAGCCCCCAAACAGTGTCAGATAGCCCCATAACAAATCACGTGTCCCCCCAAATGTCGAACTGGCAGGGCCATGGCCTGGAAGATCTGCGAGGTCACTCAGCTGCACCTTTCAACGCTTTGGCTACATGACTGAATGCTGCAATCATAGCTATTATGCAGACAGTATGTATTTCATAGGGTCTTGAGCCTCGGCTATCTGTGTATTTTTAGTTTTGTACAACAGGCTTAGCAGTACCTGGGATGGATGTATACATTCAAAAATCACAAAGCAACTGGGAAGAGATGGAAGACAGTTTAATAGTGAACACTAATTACTTTTTACTGTGATTACATCACTGGCAATAATCACTGTTGTTTCATTTCCAGTAGTAAAAGAGAGTTAACTGGTGAAAGCACTAGGCTTCAAACATATGTCTAGCATATTCCTATCGTAATACTTCATGTGCAGCATAAACAACAGCCTGTAGCCCACCTGCATTGCCGCACAGGTACAGGATGTGACTGATACAACTGAAGCCAAATCCAAAATGGTAGAATTCTTTGTGTTCGATTCCAGACCGTAAGAGCTAGTCTTTAAGCAGTACGTCAAATGGGATTCTCAGGAGAACTTCAGGGTTTAACTGCTGCACAAACTGCAAGAGGAAAAATCACTACTGTTCTGCATGTCATTCAGTCTTCTCTGCCATAAAAAGCATGCAGGGTTACACACAGACGTTTCATCGGTTCTGTAGCTTGATGTCAACTCTCTCCCACAGTGGCTATGAATACGTCTTTGATGATCTCCTTATCCAAGTTCCTGCCTGTAAAGAGAAATAAATTAGCTAACTATATCTTACAGTGTATTTCAAAAAAATGCATGCAAGTCTTCTCAGCAAAGAAAATGTTTGTTATACCAATGAGTGAAAATAGCATTATTAAAATTAAGCTGCAGGTAACAAAGTAACTTTATATGTCACAGGCAACCACAGACTTCAATCTGTACAAGTAAGGGAAAGGAGGAAAAATTGGGGGTTTTTGGTCATAAAAGCACTTTGCAAAGTAGAGATTAACAAGTAGGAAACAGAAATGTACAACTTCAGCATTACAAGCTTTTTAGAAACAAAATAGATTTTATACAGTTTAGTGGCTATAATCCCCTTCCTTACGGTTACTAAATATTTGATCAAACATTCAAACTATTGAATTTAGTAATTTTTAAGTTATATTTAGAAATATATTTAAATTATGGATTTAAATTACTTGATACATTTATCCATATTTAAATTATGGATTTTAAAAATAACACTAAATATGCTAACATAATTTTTGAATAATTAATATTTTATTTTATTTTGTCTTATTATCACTAGAAGTTATAGTGCAGATTCTTCTGGAATATAAAACTGCAGGGGCCCCTGGTGGATAAATCTTTGACTGGAGGTTATACTGAACATACTCACTGCTATTATTCTGGCCAGTTTAAGCCAGCTGATTTATACTGGACAGGTCACAGAACTGCCTGCTGCTTGAAGTCAACGAGGAGATACGTAATTTCCTCTTACCTATTAGGACCAGTCTATTTGTTCTCTTTTCGTCTTCTTTCCAGGCTACTGCAGTCTCTTCCAGATCATAGAGCTCATGGACACCTTGGACTATCACCTGATGAGATTTCCCTTGAATAGATACCAGTCCCTTATCAGAAAAATAACTGTTAGGATATATAAACAAACCTTTTAAAATGAAATATGTAAGAGGGGGAAAAAGACTTTCAAACTAGGCTAAGCAGGGAAAAATATTTCTGGCAACTATGCACCAGTTTGCCAAAATAACTATGTGGTATGATCATTTTTACTCATAAAATCCATTCTCACATCTCCTTATTTTGTTAAAGACTAATAGTTACACTTTGCCATACTCTGCCTTCTGTTCCTCATTTGGTCAGATTCTAGCACGTTCGAGCACAAAATAAAATGTCATCAGCTGCTATGCCACTTTGAATATATATAAATATATATATATGGTGTATGATGTATGAGTCCATGAAAGACTGATTGCCAGCAAACATGATGTAAAGTGATCAAAAAAGTTTGATTTCAGATTATTCTGATTAAGCTCTCATGCTCTGCATATTCACTATTCTGAAGCAGAATCTTTGAATACTGGAGAACAAACATTCATGAGTTAAAATGACTAGTGACAGAATTAGAAGGAAGTACTGACAGAGTGAGCCCATTAACCCACATATCAACATTATTGTATTAAAAGAGTTTGCAGGTAAGATATGAATATAAAGGCAACAAAGTTTGGAACCCATTCTGTAATTACCTGGGGTTCCTCTGTTTTTGTGTATTTGCACGGACTGAGGGCCAGCACAGAGCTTATCACAGGCCTCAGATCTCCTAAAGAATCACTTTGATTCCAAAGCTCAGTACAACAAAAAAGTACTTTTGCATAGCAGTACTGATTCCTGGCAGCTTAAGATGCTTCTGTAACTATGTTCTTCTATTTGTCAGGAAGGAGAAGACAAGGATATTCTCATTTTGTTGCTGGAAGGGCAAGAATACAACCTTTCTGCCAATGAAATGAAAATAATTATGTCACTATCCATGATACGCAAGTGCTCTGAGAAAAAAAAACAGAGCTTTTTTTCTTGTATTTCTTACAGCCTACCAAATGACAGACTTGATTCTCATTTTTCAGTGATTTAGTGATTTACTTGGTTGCTTAGCATCAAGAAAATCAAAATATATCCTAAACTGTCACCTGTACTCCTCTCAAAACCATGGACCTGAAAAACACAAGAAATGCCCATGAAGATGAATACTTATGAGCTCCATCTTTAAAACTACAGGCGGACAACACTGTAAAAAGTAGTATGTGTGGACCACAACCAGTATTGCACTGCTATGTTATGCCAAATTCAACTTCTGCGTATTATGCCAACAATTATAATTACAGACAGCAATCTATAGTATCCAATCTGTAGTATCCAATCCCTAGAGAGGGAGACATTTATGTGACATGGATGGTACCTTTCAACGCAATGGAGGTGAAAAGTGAAAAAGTGATTTAATTATGTCCTGATTATTAACTCTGCCACTGATGTTGGGGACTGTGCATCTTCCCTCTCAATTCAAAACAAGCAGAATCAACGTTTGCTTCTCTGTCAGCTGTCTCCTTTTGAGTTGTCCCACCAGTGAGCAGGTAACTGTTTCTACACGGAACAAGGACAAATTGCTATTCTTCATTTTGTCTGCTCTGCTACAGTGATCTGTAACTGCCAGCACACTGCAGTTTTTCAGATGTGAGAGGAAAAGCACAAACCAAAGAAGTTGGTAATTTCTGTCTAACCTTCAGTCTTATGACATCCATGCTGCGCCCAATCTTATCTTTCACATTCTTCTCCCACAGAAGATTCTATGAAAAGGAAAAACATTTTCATAACAAAATGGCATGGGATGGTTTTCTATAAAAAAGTCATAATGATTTTTCAGCTGACAGTGATCTGCTACTTACCTGAATAAAGAGGTTTAAGTTTTCTTCTTTTATATTTCCTGGAACTTCAAATGTTGCTGTAGTTATACCCTGCAAATGGAAAGACCCACTTACTATTACCAAACTGAATAAAGATTTCATTTCATCAATTTCAAAAAGTGTTCTTTGTAACTCGGCTTCATAGAAAAGCAACTATGTACCCATGTCAAATTAAAAAAAATAAATAAATAGATCTCCATTTCTATTCTACTCCAATTTGCTACATTATGCTATACTTCCTGGTTCTGTTCAGGTTGGCACTTAAAAGTTCATATGCAGTGCTTTGCATAGTTTAATGCCATCAGCTGCTGCCACGTAACTCTTTGCTGTAGTTGATCTTTGTTCTCAAAGAAAGCCCTAGAATTTTAGTTCTTATTTGCTAGTAAGCTAAATCTTTCAAGTATGTTTCAGAATGCTATTTTCTTGGCATACTGATATTTGTCACAATTTCTGACCTTCATCACAATTCTATCAGACAAAAATCAATCAATGTATTTTTTATGTTTCTGTTATGAAAGGCTTTTTATAAACAGACTATATAGGAACAGATTCCAAAAATAAAGATGTTTGAAGTGATGTTTTATTTCATCACCAGTATCATGAATGTGTAGTTTAAAATCAACATTTTATTGCAAAATAAAGGAAATAATGTGTCTTACACTTATTTTTGTCACTATAATGTCTCAACAGCATAGAAGAACACACAAAGAAATACTTTTTGTACAATCTAAAATTTTTTCAAATGATTACTGCTTTCAAATGACTAGTTTAAGAGCAAAAAAATGAATAGAATAGAATAGAGCAGAACTATTTCAGTTGTAAGGGACCTATAACAATCACTGAGCCCAACTGCTTCACTACTTCAGGACTGATGAAAAGTTAAAGCACGTTGTTAAGGGCATTGTCCAAATGCCTCTTAAACACTGACAGGTTTGGGGCATTGACCATCTCTACAGGAAGCCTGTTCCAGTGTTCGACCACCAGCTTGGTAAAGAAATGCTTCCTCATGTCCCGTCTAAACCTCACCTGGTGAAGCTTTGGACCATTCCTGTTACTGGCTCCCAGGGAGCAGGGTTCAGCACCTCCCTCTCCACATCCCCTCCTCAGGAAGCTGTAGAGAGCAATGAGGTAGCCCCTCAGCACCCCTACTTTTCTCCAAAGTAGACAAACCCAGAGTTCTCAGTGGCTCCTCAAAGGACATGACTTGCTAATGATGCATTCAACTCCTGCATCCAGATTGTTGACAAATGTATTGAACAGAACTGGCCCTACAACTGAGGAACACTGCTGGTGACTGGTAGCCAGTCACATGTAACCCCATTCACCACATTTTGAGCTCTGCCCTTCAGCCAGTTCTTCGCCCAGTGCACAAAGAACCTGTTCATCCCATAGCTGGACAACTTGTCCAGAAGGATGCTGTAAGGGACAGTATTCAAAGCCTTACCAAAATCCAGAAAAACTACATCCACTGCCTTCCCTTCATCCACTATGTCGGTGACCTTATCATAGAAGGATATCAAACAGAACTTTCCTTTTGTGAACCCATGTTGACTGGGCCTGACGATTGCATTATAATTTAAATGCCTTTCAATAGTACCCAGCATAATATCCACAATTTTTTCAGGAACTGAGGTTAGACTAACAGGTCTGTAGTTCCCTGGGCCTTCCCTCATGCCCTTTTTGTGGACTGCAGTAACACTGGTTAACTTCCAGTCAGCAGGGACCTCCCCAGTCTCCCAAGACCTTTGGTAGATGATCAAGAATGGTCCCGCCGTAACATCTGCTAGCTCCTTCAGTACTCCAGGATTCATTCATGGATTTGTGAACATTCAGCTGATACAGCTGGTCCCTTCCAATTTCAGTATTCACAAATGGGAAGTCAATGTTCCCATCCTTCTGGTCCTCCAACCCAGGAGACCAGACAGCCCAAGATATATCAGTATTTTTAAAGACTGAAGCAAAAAACTCATTGAATGCCTCTGCTTTTTCTTCATCCCTATTAGTCAGATAACTATCTTCAACAAATATCTCTCCAATGTTTCCCATAGACTTCCTTTTGCTATTAACATACTTGAAAAAGCCCTTCTTGGTATCTGAATCAACTCTGGCTGGTTTCAACTCTAATTGACTTTGGCCTTTTGTGTCTACACCCTGCATAAATGAACCACAGCTCTGTAGTCTTCTTGCAAAGCTTGACCTCACTTCCAAAGATTTCGTTTTCCTCTTGAGCTCCATAAGGAGCTCCCTGTTCAGCCAAGCTGGTCTTCTGCTCCACTTGCAACAAGAAAAGAAAAACTCGTATTGTTACACAGTAGCTTAGAAAAGTGTACTTCCCTTCCAGAAAGTTGCTATGATTAAATCTAATTTTTAGGTTAACATATGATGCATACAATGCCTGTATTTTTCTTTTTGAACTGCAAATCTCGAGTATGAAGTTGCTAGTCTTGAAAACAGCAAAAGGCAATTATATTTTCTTTTTTGATTAGATACAAGCAACAAGCAGCAAATCTAAATGTTCATCTAATGACTTAGTAAATTCACCAAAACAACTAAGAGCTAACAGTATGAGCAGCTTCAAAACAAGACAGACAGAAGTTCACTGTGCTCCACAAAAAGTGCAGTATTGCTTCTGTTGACCTTCCACATGAAGATAATAAGCTCACTTTATCATCCAAGGAGGACTTGCAGCCTACTGTGAGAGAAGCATTCTGTTCTCACTTACGCCTCATCTGCCTCAACAACCATCTCAAAACTGTGGGTGTTGAACAAAATAGCAATAGTAATAATGAATTCTAATTGATTCCCATATATCAAATGGCTCCATGCTACAAAAACAATAATAATTTCCTTAATAATACAAGTATGCTATAACTATCATAATACTCAGGAAGGCTTCTATTTAGCTTCTTTTCTACTTTAGGGATCTATTCAGACTGTTACAACCATAACTGAACATATTGAAGATGAACACAAATTTTAATTGGACAAAAAACTATGAACATAAGACTCTGATGGCAATTTTAGCTAAGCATGAAACCTATTTTTTATTTAATCTTTAGTTCCAAGTGGAGCATACAATTGCCTTTGGCTGTTTTCAAGACTAGCAACTTCAAGTTAAGATTTGCAGTTCAAAAAGAAAAATGCAGGCATTGTACACATTATATGTTAACTTGAAAGTAAGATTTAATCAGCAACTTTCTAGAAGGAAGGTACACTTTTCAAAGCTACCATGTGAAAATACAAGTTCTTCTTTTCTTGTAGTCCCTGAGGAGACTGCTGCCCATGGGTGAACCGCACCCAACCAGGGATACCCTGGAGAGGACTGTGACCCAGGACTCATCCACAGCGCAGGGTACTTGTATACAGACTGGATGACACATGGAGCAGAGATGCTAAGGAACAGAGCAGTGACAAAACCACTAAGGAGTAAAAACGAGTAATTAAAGCAGTGCAGGACACCTACAGCTGCTGCCTCAAGAAATCTCTTCTGAGTGGCTGGACAGGGGCACTTGCAAAACTAGAAAACTGGGATTTACTGATGGAGGGGTATGCAGGGCTTGATCCTTCTGGTCCCACAAACTGTGGTCCCCCCGCTGTGGAGGGACTAGGGAGAAGGGGCAATTGAGTGTCATCGCTTTGACTTCTGCTGTGGTTACAGGCAAGGGGTAAGGGACCCTGAAAAGGCTGAGGCCGCAGACCAAAAGCTCTGGCAGCTAGACACAGTCACTATTCCCCCTCTGGTATCACCTGATAACCTGGTGGGACATCCTATTGATCAAGGAGTGACCCTGAGTATCATGCTAGGGGGAAGATGCCAGAGGCAGGTGTGAGATCAGCCTCATGGCAAAGCATAACCAAACTGCAGTTACAAAATTGTCAGGTAGGGATGCAAAATCTCCACGCTCCCACTCTACAAATTGGGACTTGGAAAGGGAAAAAGAAATTTTTCAAGATCTACACCTGGGAACTAAGGAATAACAAGACCAGGAGAAAGGTCAGAGCTCAGTTAGTATGGTTACAGGATGTGAAGCAACCTCTTGGAGATCTGATGCATCATGTTACTCCCCAACTGAGGCAGGGCCCATGTCATATCAAATGAATATTGGGCACAACACGTTTTATTTCTGGATGAAACTACAGATGTTGGAGTCAGAAACAAAGTGCTGTTACTCTATGGTTGTACTGTTTAATTGTTTGCTTGAATATTTGCTTGTATACCACGACACAGTGAGTAAACTAAACAGCCAAGTGTCTTGTTTTGGTGTTTTGAAGGAACAAGCCCTGAATTTTACAGTAAGCAATGCCATCCTTACTAATTTACACCAAAGGATGGAGCCTACAATGGAAACATGTAAATTCAAGCCCTTATGATACTATCATTCACCATCTGTTCGGCAGGACATGGAAGTTACATACAACAATTTTTAACACGTATATTCAGACTGCTACAACAATAACTCCTATAGTCTAGATCTCAGAGGCAAGGGGTTGAATGTGTGCTAGCTGTACATTTCAGTTTCTGATGACATTAAGGGTGGATACTGACACCCATACATTCATACTGTATGAATATACAGCTCCTTAAGTATGTGTAAGCTTACAAGGCTTATATAGCAGGGGGCTACAGTGCTGAGGGGTGTGGGAGGAGGCCATCAGCTGCCTCGTGTGTCTCCCAATCTATTCCTCCAGCCAGCTCTGAAACCACACAATAGTAAAATAAGTACACAAAAAAAAAAATCCACACATTTCATGCAGAGAAACACGTGGCATCCTGTTAGAGAGACCAACACCTCCAGCCACTTGGGACTGAAGACTCTTTGGAGGAGGTATGCCATGCCAAAGGGGGTACGTACACCCCGGAGAGATTGCAGCTTGTTGTTTATCCACAGGCACTGAAAGCCCTGCATGAACTACAGGGAAGAAACCCTAAGGAAAAAAGCAGAGATGAGGAGCAGAAAAGCATTACACAAATGCCTCCAAGCATAGGAAGCTATGCTACATGTGGCCTTGCTGGGAGCAATAGGACAGAATAAATGTAACCCATGGAAAAAAATAGGGAAAGTTGAGGGAGAGAGGGAGAGTGGAGTGTTTGTGTAGTTGCTTTGCATTTATTTTATTCAGTATTCAAATTAGTAGTTATAAGTTTTTGTCACCTACCGATATATTTCAGTAATTCCCTGACTTATGAAAAGAAAATGAAAATTACAAGTGAGCCTTTCTAGTAAAACCAGTAGGGATGACGGACCAGACTCTTTCCTGAAATTCAACTTTGCAATTAGATATGCTGATCACAAAAAAATCTGTATTTGCTCAAATAAAAGCCACAAAGACAGAATTGCTATTTGTAGTTACATTATGCTAGCACCCAGAGAGAAAAGATTCTGCCCAGATATAAACACACGTTGGATTGAGTATCAGGGAGGGAGCAGGGGGGAGGAACACATTTTAGAGTTTATTTTGACATACTGAAAATAACATCAACAGAACTGGGTTTTTTTGTTGTTGTTTTTGAATACAGGTGCTTACAGGATTGATACCTAGTTTATAGGGCAGAATCTACTTCACTGTTACAAGCTAAATTATTTCTTGTGAAAACAATGTAAAGCACTCATAGAACAGAAATCCACACATGCTTAAGTACTCAGTGAAGTTTTATGGCAGGTTTAAAGAATTCAAAGTCATGAATAACATCTCCCTGACAACTACATATAAACAACATTTGGACAGAAAACCTACAGGGTGAAGATTGGCTACAAATTTAGGACTTGATCCTGCAAACATTTAAAAAAAGCAGTGGAATTTTTTTGTTTCAGAGTAGAAGCCTCCAAACTATTTTTCAAACTAAGAGTTACTATATCTATTTAGAATCTATCTACAACAAAGCACACTCATATATATATTCAATGTAACTTTCCAAAGATCTTAGAAGATCCCCAACTGAATCTTCTGGAAAGGTAACATGATTAGGACGCAATGCTTGTAATTACCCTAAACGACCATGTTGTTACAAAAAGAAGCAGTAGTTTTGGTAATTACCTTATCTAGATGTGCATGTGTTGTCTTTACATGCTCAAGCTTTTTCTGTAAACTGAAAATAAGTAAAGTTAAATGTCATATTTGAGGAGGATGGACAAAATTACATTATTTCAAAAATTAAAAAAACTTCAGTATTGCAGAGCAAAATAAAATATCAAAGATAGACTATATACTCAGAATAAGCTTCAACTGTTAATTCAGTTCTAATCTCAAAATAGGTATTTTGGTCTAGTTAATGCTTTGTGCTAGGGTGTTAGTTTTTTAAAATATAAACAATTAGATTATAGAAATTATTTGCTGTATCTTTGCAATTTTAAATATTTATACTTCAAGAAGTACAACACCCTTGATGTTCCTTTGTGTACAAACAAAAGGCAAACTACATCACTAAAGCAAGAGGGGAAAAACAAGTCATTAGAATTTGTCAATTTATTAGACATTGATTTTTTGAAAAAACTTTAGAATTATTTTAAAAGCAAAAAGAAAAAAATGTACTAAGCTGTTTCTTGTGAGAATGAAATTTGTAACATTCAGTGAAAAACTATATACCCAGCTTCCATCAAGTCCTCTGTACATCTCATTCCTACTGTGCAGTGTGCTGCTAGTTTAAAATTAGACCTATTTATTTCATAAAGGAACTCGGGGACTTGTTTTATATATGAAGATTCAGGCTCTTACTGTGCCATTTTGTACAGCAACATAAAATTTTACCGCAACTGTAGATTACACACATCTGTCTTCAATCAAGACAGTGCAAGACTTCTTCTAATACTGTTTCTGTACCAGAGAACATTCTGTCTTACATCCAACCCACAGAAAAAAGAATACTGCATCAGAAGTCTCTATGATGACAGCTCTCTGCTACTTCACAGAAGATTTCCCATAAAAATCTTTCCTACTCTGACGACTGTAAATTTTAAGAAGCCTTTAATGGTGGGGGAAAAAGGTATTGACTGCTACTGAAGTAACATTTCAGATTCCTACTTCTTGCACCTTCTTTGCTTTGTTGTCAGCTTCTCATACTGCTTTCCACAGAATCCAGAACTCTTGATGTGTTTCCTGTCATTTCAGGGCATGTATAGACTACCAGTACAGTCACACCAATCAGGATGTTTTATTCGTCTATGCCAGCAGAAATCCTTGCTGTAGTATGCAGTTAAAAGAACAATGTTATTAGTGTGCTGATGTGTATTTGTGCTCAAATGGTGCTGGATGTAAAGGGTTTTTCTGCTAAGGACGATAGGGCAGAACCCACCACTAATATTTTATGTAGGGATTTCTGTATCTATGAACTGATACCAGCGTAAGCAGTTTCACTGTACAGAGCTCAAATAAAATCAAAATAAAGAGAACTTCATTTAAGCAATCTAGAACATTCTTGGTGCTTTCAGAACTTGTCTTTAAACAATTTTAAGGTGTTTCCTCTGTTTTAACACCAAGTATTGAGAACTTCTAAAGGAACTATGAGTGAGATAAGAGAGAAGCCTAGACCAAGGAAAGAAAGGTAATTTTTTTTGGCAGCTCCTTCAAGACTCTCTCAAATTTGTAGAGCAGAGCACTTCTTAGTAAACCTTGCCGAATGCCACCTAAAATTACAGCTTATCAGATCTAACTGTGAATTGCCATTATCAAAAATGATCCCCTCCTTCTTCACATCTTCTGACTGCTTTCTCTCTCTGTTGCGTGGCCCCAGGATGAGTCAGTGTAGCTAGCTGATCCATCATAATAACTCAGGACATGGGTTTACAATCTGGTTTATGACCTAATAGTTATCTGTTGACCAAAAAGGATATACTGGACTTCCTCCTCCAACTTCTTTTGGATGCCTATTCTGACATTGGTACAGATCTGCCATTGGTACAGATCTGACTGGTACATTCAAGGAGCTCAAAAGAAACAAATGTTATGTTTCACAGATCAGACTAAAGTCAGTGCCAGCAAAAAGAAAGGGCAGCAGAGACTCAGGAAAAGCAGGCTATCCTCTGCACCAGTTAACTGGGAAATCTCCCGAGCATCTCTCTTCTATTAGAGGTTACTTGCTTGCATCTTGTGCCATTTCTCCTGTCTGAAATGAACAGTATGGGTCCCGGAAGAAAAATGAAGCTGATACTGCCCCCAGTTGCATATTCCCTACTTTCCTTTATGATTGCTCCAGTACTCCTTGCTCTCTTTGTTTAACAACTTCAGCACACAAAGTGAACAGAAAGTCATCCTCCCCTCACCTCCAATTTTACTGTTCCACCCATCTAGCATGCTGAAGAATACACTTAGCATTGGAGAAAAGAAAAAAAAAAAGAAAAAAAAAGGACCACAGTAATCAGAATTTGCAGTGGCTTCATTTGTTGTGGAACTTCAGTCCCTTGTTATTTTCTGTGAAAACTAAGGAGGCCTCCAGTTCATCATGATGTGAAGTGAAAAAAAAATTTGAAATCCTTTAAAAGAGCTGGAAAAGAGTGCACTACTACTGCAATTAAAGCAAAACTTGTATTCTGGAAAAAAAAAAAGCTAACCAACTATGCACACTCTGGCTCATTTAACTTTACATCAGAAAGCTTTTCTTGCACACACTTCGAGTGGAAAAATTCTAAGTGGTAAGCTGAGACTGAGAAAATAAGACTTTTAAACTACTGACTAAACTAACAGAAAGTCAGATGCAAATTTGAGCTAAGCATGTCTATTTCATGCATGTACTTATACAATGGACTTTATTTCTAATTAGAGACAGTGAAATTATCACCATACCTTATTCCAGATAAACTGTCAAAAGCATGCAGGTCCAAGACATTGGAGAGATCAACTCTAAACAGAAGAAAGAAAGCAAGCTTTGCATTTTTGCTATATTTAAATATTGTGTATACTTAAATAATTACTTTTTAAATGGTTAACTGAGGGTTATGCTTGTTTTCCTGTCTATCATAAAAATGCCACTTCAGTCTTTAGACTTATTTTTGTATGTTGGTGCTTGGTCTTTTCTCCTGCAAGGAAATAGAACGTTTATTTACACAGTAGTATGTAAGCACAGAAACATAGTTTAAATAAATACAGTAAAATACAAGGTATTTTCAAGAAAGATGGCAAAATCCCTCATACCGGATGCCTGAATAGTAACTTATTTTACTTAAACGGCAAAAGGAACCCTGAAGTTCTTCCCAGAAATTCTGCACCCTTAACCTAGACTTACTCAATACACACACAAAGCCCTGGAACATACATAGCTTATACTGACACACTGTTAGCAAACAAAACTGAAATACACTATGAGACAAGTGCTACTATGAAGAATTTGAGCTCTAACGTGAAAAAGACAAGTGAAAAATATAATATGGAACAGAGAGCACTGATCGTATTTACTTGTAAGTACAACTACCTATAAACCTGCATAAAAACCTTTTTTTATAGAAGTAACATAGATTATAGGTTTCACTGCTAATACCAACTGATAGCTTTCTAAATGTAATTAATGATATGTGTCTAAATACAAAGAACATACAAGAGGTTAAAAAGAATCAAACAAAAAAAAGACCTCTGCAGTGTAGCCAGTATTATTAAGCTTTTACATCTGACAGTAGCTTCACAAAGCAGTTGCTAAAATGAAAGGTTTATAATGTAAAACACATATATAATCCCTCTCTAAAGTTCATGACCAGCTCAGTGCCAGCTGTTTATTCTCAGCAGGGTTCGGAAAAATCATATAGAAACACTCAAGAAAGTACTGTATTGATCCCTTTTACAGGTGGGCTTTTGAGGAACAAAAATGTCTAATTAAAGAAGATATGTTCTCAAATAACATGCTAATAAATTAATCTTATACTTATGTCACTTTTGAAATGTTTAATCATGGGAGACAGTATGCATCATTCACTAAAGAATATTTACTAGTAACAGAAGAGTTGTCATTGAGGACTGAATTTGAGGTCCACTGAATCCAATATCCAAAATTTAATGCTGGCTGGCACCAGACACCAGAGAAGGATACAGATGTGGATCCTACACTTAACATATTGATCTTTTTCTAATTACATGAACAGATACTGACTTAAGACACAAAGCAGAAAGTTTAACATTCTCTTCAAAATTGTTAGCCATGCTGGATATCACCATAATCTCTACAGATTATTTTTCTTTCATGTTATAAAAATCTTGGCCTCAAACTTGCACTAGTGCAGTTAGACCCATGCATATGCAATTTATGAGCAATTTAACTTTATCAATAAAGAGTTTGTTTCTTTTCTGCCTCCAAAGCATTTAACTGACCATTTCTGTACTCTGCCTTGCAACTAAAGAACAAGGAGCTCCTGAAAACCACTGTTTGTTCTCAGTAAAATCTTCATGTTTCCACTTTTTTGATTTCAACTGGAGCAATCTGTTCAAATATTTTTCTTATAAGTGCTTTCCTAAGCCCTGATCACCCTTCACAATCTTCTTCCCCATTTGGTGGCAAAGGTAAAATTTCCTATTCCTCATAAGATAAATCCCAGAATTAGAAAAATTAATATCATGTTCCCAAAAGTTTCCTAAACAGGAGGAAAGGGAAATGCTACAACTGTATCTCTGCAACTACACCTCTTTGCAGCATTTGTGCTTTTGTCTTTCAATCATTCATGCTGCACTCAAAGTACATACATTGAATAAAGAAATATCACACTGCATAGATGTAATGAAGACTCTAAGTAATACAGAGGTCTCAAAAATAAAAGATAGCCAAATTTGGATGTTGTAAAATTAGCTATAAGTAAACATCCAAGACTTACCATCAGAATAAAATCCTGATTTAATTTAACCTGGAATCATCAGAGCATTCACATTCCATTTACAGACAGAGAAAAATGCCAGTAACCTTGTTCTAATACAACCGGACTTTATGAAATACTAGCTTAATAGCATTGAATTTACAGAATAGGACAAATTTAAAAAAGTCTAAATTTTGCAGCAGTACCTACAGTGACTACCCATTAAAACTCTTAACACAGAAAAAAAGCTGGTGAACATTAAAAGCTTGACTATTAAGAATTGCTCACAAGTTTATTCACACTTGCTATTTTGAACATAATTCCATTGAAAAAAATAACTTTTTATGTAATAGACGTACTGACTAACGTACACACACGTACTGACTAAAATTATGTACTGAGAATCACCAGAAAAGCAATACATGAATGACTGTGAAACACCTCTCAGTAACAGAATTTATGATCCCCTCTGTAATACTGTTCATTCTTCTAAGCATTCCTCAACAGAATTTGCAAGTTAACAAGAAAGGAGCATGAAGTTGTCAAAGCTACTTAAACTTTTCACCTTGTTCCTTGAACAAAGTAATAAAAACAACATGAGAATAATCCTTATAAACTAACAGGATAGTCACTAAAGAGAATGCTTTTCATAGTGCAACTTGTTCAACAGCAGGGCATAAAGCTTCCAGTGATCACACTACGGACAGAATTTCAAAGAAGTTAAAGCCAACAGAAACATTCTCAAGAATAACATTTTTGGAAATTTAAACAGACCTGATCTTTAGATTCAAGTCAGACAAAACCCTGGGTCTTCAAAACCCTGATTCACCAAACCAGATATATATTCTACAGTCACTTGCCAGTTCTATCTGACTAGCCAATAACAGCAAGTATTCTTCTCTACACTTTCTAACTATTTGACAATAACTTAAAAAAAACAAGTATACTTTATTAATATTTTGTCTACTATTTTTCAAAAATTGCTTAAAATTGGAACCTGTATTGTAAGGACATTTACCACAATATAGTCAAATGATGTAACAGTACACAAATCAGTCCTAGTCTGAAAGATACACTGCTCTCCTAATGTTCGTAGGAATACCATCTCCAGTTAGTTGCTATTAAAGAAATCCAAGTCAGAATTTCAATGAAAAATAGCAAAAACAATGCAATTACTTTTGCTTCTTGCACTGCTTTCAAAGTCATTTTGTAGTAACAATTTATTTGCAGCAGCCATCATAAGTGAGAAAAGTCTTTAAGATGACACAACAGAAAAAAATATTATAATGCACATGATCAATGATTAGCTCAGATAAAATTTACCCTTGTAAGTTCCTCTTTAGTTACAAGATCTGGTTAATAAGTTATGAGAAACTTTCAATTTCTACCTTTTAACACTCCCTTAAAAATCTGCTATATTTTTTTAATATGCTGAGGCTAATTAAACTGCATCTGTATTAGCATTTTTCAGGAATTTTCCAAATAGAATTACTCTATAAATCGCAATATGACAAAAATGCAAATTTAATAATTAATAGCATTAGCCATATTCACATTAAACTTAGGAAAAAATGCAGGTTTTGGAAAAAAGAAATGCCCAAGCTTTTGTAAAATCCACTGCTTATGTAAATATGAAATATTTACAGTTACATTGCAAAGTCCAATAAAACCCATTAGTGATAAGCTCTCTAAACTAAGCTAGATCCAAATAGTGATTTTTAAAAAATAGTTATACACTAGAGTGTAGGATGTGAATAGTAAAAAGAAAAATACAAAAGTAAAATACATTTTTACTTCTTTAAAAAAAATTCCTTTCTCTAGATGCTTATTAGGAAAATAAACATTGAGTTAAATATTTCCAATTCAATAGTTTTCCCTTAAGCAAACTGATCTAATACTGTCACAAAAGAAGCAGGATCTAGTACCTAGTAATAGTGGCCATTTAATACCTTGATCTTTGTGTCTCTAGAATTTTAACAAGTCCATTTATTGACCTAAAATAAAATAGAAAAATCAGAAGTTAGATCAAAATTCAACCATAATATATTGCTTAAACAGCACCACAACAATAACCCCAACTCTGTTATCAGATGGTTGAAGAAACCAACAGACATTTTCACTGAATTTTTAGAGTTGGAACGGACCATAGAGATCATGTAGTCCAACTCCCCTGCTAAAAACAGACTTCATTTCTGTGACGTTTTCTATCCTAAGTAAGGGTTGAAAACTTTCTAAGTTCTGAAAACAAAATACTACCGGTATGAATAGTGGCTTTCTCTACAAGACTCCTCATGATACACTCCACTGGGTCTAAGCATTTTCACTTTTGGAATTCAAACCACAAATCACAAAATCACAGGGGCTGAAAGGGACCTTCAAAGATCCTTTAGTCTAACCTCCGTGCCAAAGTAGGGTGACCTAGAGCAGGCTGGACAGGAACACATCCAGGTGGGTTTTGAATACCTCCAGAGGAGACTCCACAGCCTCTCTGGGCAGCCTCCATTGCTCTGCCACCCTCGAAGTGAAGAACTTTTTCCACATGTTCAAAGGGAGCTTCCTGTGTTCTAGCTTGTACCTGCTGTCCCTTGTCCTGTCAGCAGGCACCACTGAGAAGAGCCTGACCCCATCCTCCTGACACACCCCCTTCAGACATTTATAAGCACTGATGAGATCCCATCGTAGCTTTCTCTACTCCAGGCTCAACAGACCCAGGTCTCTCAGCCTTTCCTTATAAGAAAGGTGCTCCAGTCCCTTGATCATCTTTGTAGCCCTCTGCTGGACTCCTTCCAGTAGTTCTCTGTCCATCTTGGACTGGGGGTCCCAGAACTGGACACAGTACTCCTCAACTACTAATGAAATTGTAAAGTATTTAGAAGTTTTAATGTTTCATTTTCGTTATCATAGTATTGACAGAAAAAGATGGGGCATGTCTTTGATCACTAATTTGATTCAGACCAATGCTTCTTCTACACCCGTGGCAATTATTTAGGACTTCTTCCCCATATTTCACATTTGCTAGTGAACTCTTATCTACTAGCAGAATTTTTTCTTCTCTGATGCTATTTCTGAAAAATGGGAACAGCTGCCAAAAAATGTAAGAGGGTGAACAATTAAGACAAAGGCTTGTCCTTAGTAGGTACCTATCTTACCTAGAAAGGTAAATTGCTAAAATTGTGTAAACACAAAACAGTATTGAAACACCTTTAGAAAGGGGCAGCCTCTTTTCCCTTCTGAGCTAACAATGTCTGTCAATGTAATTGTGACATCTAATTTCAGTATTAACAAGAAGGAAGTAATTATGTTTAAATAAAAAAAATAACCTTTGAGCCAGTAGTGTTACAGTTATGCCAAAAGTTTCATACCTGACAGATGTTCTGACTTTATTCAATTCTTCCCCTGAAACCAAATCTGTTTTATTGATGATTATTAGATCAGCTAATGCAACCTGCCTATGAATAAAGGGAAAAAAAAAAAAAAACAAAAAAGAAAAAACAACATGAACAAATACTTCTTCTGTAAGGCAGAAACACCATCTCTCCCAAAAAAAAAAATAGTATGAGCATTGTTAGTACAGAAAGGCAAGCACTAATCAAACTAGAATGTCGTGGAATATGGCTACAGAACTACAGGCTTCTCCTTGAGGTGCTCTTGTGTGCCATAAGAGAAGTCTACCAAACTACAAAACCTTGCTAGTTTTTGTTCTGTTTTAAATGACATCTAATCTGAAGTGCTTGGTGATTTATGAACTTCCCAAGCTCCTATCTCTCTTGCATGCTGTCTTCATAAAGTCATACTTGAAACCTCTTTGTTTTATGAAGACTTCTATTGTTACAATAACCCTTAATCACTCTGGCTGCACATCTAGCAAAATAGATTCCTCTACCTCCAGTCCTACTTTAGGCATCGGACAGATCCTAGCATGCAATTTTTTTCTTCCCCAAACGCTGTGTAAAAACCCATCCCTCTTAGAATATCTATTAGAAGAGTGAGATCTTGGCAAAATGACCAAATGGAGCACTTTTCTATTTTCTACCTTATTATACCTATCTAACTTGTTTTTTAAAAAAAAAAAAAAAGGAGGAGAATAAAGCCTTTTGAAAGAAAAAGAAGTCATTTCTAATGAACTTAAATACAGTGCAGTTCCTAACTGTAATACATAAAATTAATTTATACATCCATACCGACATGCTTCATTGATAAGGCCTTCAGGCTTTTCTTCTGTCAAGTGCTAGACAAAAATTAAAACAACTGGATTAAGCATATTCAAATGACACTTAAATTCATTTGCAATTAAAGGAAGCCAAAGCTAATGCAGCTTTTTCAACATGGTATTGAGGAAGATGACTTTTAGAATTTTTTGGTAAAATGATGGTGAAAAAGTAAATTTACACATCCACCATTACGGAAGCCTATAACTTCTACTCTACTCTTTTAATGAATTTGATTATTAGAATGCCAAAGAGTTGGAAAATTGTATTATATTCATTCTCATTATTGTTCAATTTATGACAAAGTAAAAAAAAAAAAACATGACATACAGTAACCATGGAAAAACGTATCTGTAAAAATGGAAGTACAGTAATTTCAGTAATGAGTGTGATGTTGACTAACTGTTAAAGATGTGTTAGGCACTACACAATTTCATATACATAGCTGCATAAGATTTGACAAACTGTACTTCTACTGTAAAAATCTGTAACTCTCTTTCTGGGTTTGTACAAACAAACCACTGCTCCTTGGCCAGTCTGTCCAACATCAGTGCTTCCGGCCTGTTCAAGCTGTAACTTGTCAGTCAGCACTGACAAAACCAGCAGCTTCTGATCATGCTGCAGAAGTTTAGTATCATCTGCAGGTTTGTGCTCCACCTGTCTCACCAAGCTAATATCCTCACAGAAGAATTAGTGAAAGGGAAAAAAAAATGCCTGGATCTCAAGCAGCAGCATGAAGTTTAGCAACATCAAGCCTTACTTAATTTACGCAGAGCAACAGACTATACTGAAGCAGCAAAGGTTAAACTCCAAATTATTTTCTGCCCACTCTGCCATGGAGGCAGCAATCTCCAGGACAGAAGCATCACAGACACCTGGAGGCAGTAAAACTTTAAATCCATGCTATAAGTAAGAGCTCACCACTTATGCCTTACATTTCTGGAAAGATTAGAGAGTCCTGTGCATTTCCTCATCAGCTCTAAATGTACCAAGAATATTAATTCTGCATATGGTTTTAATAACACAAGAATACCAAATGAAAGTGGAATTAACTGTCACGGGAATAGATAAATTAAAAAAACCTACAGAACCCTGTTTTTCTTCAAGTGGAATTATCAGGCATTTAACATTACTTGACTTGAAAAACAAAAATAGATTATTCCACACTGTCAGTCTGCCACCTAAAAAAAAAACCCGAAACAAAAACACCTCCTCAAAACCATTTCCTCATTGTGCACAACTTAAGCAGAGCGTAAAAACAGGATGACTGTGATGGAACCTCTCCTCTGACCTTTTCTTTGTAATCCTCTATGTATTGATTCTATTGAATTAAATGCTGTCAGATTTGTTGCCCTGAAAAGGTCCAGATGTCAAATCCTGAAAGTAGAGAACTGTCACCTGAAGTGTCCAACTTTTTGCCCTTGATTAAACATAAAAGATTAGTATTTCAGATTGCTGGGTGACAAATCCATTAGAGTGATAACCTGTGATATCAATTACCACTTCAGTTTCAATTTGGCTGACTGGTCGCAGGCTACTATTTGTCAGCTTTTCTTGTGACGGGCTGGTTCTCTGAAGCATGACACCCTTAAATTGCTGCCTATTATCCCAATGTCATCACCTGTATTGCTTTCAAAATTCTTTGAAGCACAAGCAGGTGCTGAGTTCAAGCTTTGCAACCAGAGGAATTGCGCAAGTTAGAAAGTCATTTACTAAAAAGCAAAAGTTTACTTGGCATATAACTGAGAAAGTCTGGAGTTTCTAATATTCTGAGTTCGTATCTGTTTTGTACAGGCTTACTGACTAAATAACGTAAGAGTTTTCAGTGAGCTATCAAAGACAAAGACAAAAACTGAATGTTTCAAAACATTTCTGTGTTATTTTTGACATGTCACTTGAAAGTTTAAATATTAAAATTTTTAAACAATAATAACTTAGTGTTGCTGTCCAGCACAACTGTATTTGCTTCAAGCCAATAAATCAGTACTGCATGAAGAGAAAGATAAGCACAACATTTTTGCAAGTAATACAACACATCCAAATTAGTAAGAGGGCACTCATCTGGAAAAGGGGGATGACTTAAGACATGCTGTGGTTTCTTGTGATAGTTGAGCTGATGTAAAATTCAGTTCCTGCTTAAAAGAGCAAAGCAGCTCTCAGTCCATTCCTCTCCTTCTACCAACTCCTTCATGAAAGTCCTTGCAGAAAACAATGGCTTAACTTGTCAAACTGGCTTGTTATCGGGTTAGATTAGTTTCATCCTGGTGCAACACAAAGTGACAAGAAGACAGGGTTGTCCCCTTTTCTAATAGTGAAGTTTTAATCCATGTAACAAATCCAGTAACTTACCTGCAATCCATGCTTTGCATCAACAACAGATACAATGCCTAAAAGAGAACATTAAAATGGAATAGAAATGTGCTGAAAGAGCTTACAATTTAACAACTTGTAAACTTCCTGTACAATTACTGATGTAAAAGCATCTTTACATTTACAACTGCTTATAATACTTTCAATGCTTCCAGCGTATCTGAATATTAGATTTGTCACCCAGTTAAGTTTCTTGTTGGTTACTCAGACCTGTCGTAAAAAAACGTCCACCAAACCATGTGAGAGAAATTCTCACAAGGTGGATGTCTCTCCTTCTTCTCAAAAGCAAGTTGGCAGAGGTATGCTTCTGCAGGTTATCAAAACAAAAATAAGGGGACGGACTGAGGTATACAGTTATTCTAAGTGACCAGGTATCTGCAATTCTCTGGCAGAAATCTAGGAAACTGTTTCCTATTCAACTGAATAGGAATATTCAGTTGTCTAAATGGGTATTTCCTAGTCTAAATGGGTATTTTACAGACAGTGTTAATAGGATTTTAAGCCAAAAAAGCTTTTTTCCTACATTAAAAAAAAAAAAAATCAACATTCAACATGCTCTTTAGCTACATATAGTGATGATTTATATTATTACAGTAAACTCAGATTTCTAACGGAACATAGCAAATATTAGAGCAAAAAACAGGAGTACAAGAGACAAATAAGTCAGAAAACAAAAGGCAGGAGTGTCCAGATGTCAACAAGGTAAGAGTTCAGAAAAAATGAAATAATTAAGTAAGTATTGCACAGAGGAAAGAAAAGAAAAAAGAATAAAAAGGAGAATGCTGTAATATTACTCCTAAATAATGTTTTATAACATCTAACTAATGAGGGTTTTTTCCCTCCTTACACCACAATCAAGATCTCTCCATATCTGATCCCTTAGCAAAACATTACAGGACTTCTGTTAGATTTAGCAAACTGAAACATCTCACCAAGTTGATAAACAAGCATCAGAATAAGCAAGTAGATCTCTGTGGTAAAATTTGGGAGTGTGAGAACCAAGAGCACGTATTTCAAACAGTTTCTGAAGCCTTGCCTTAAATGATAAGGATACATTACACTAAATCCAGATATGGAATGCCAATACATTGGAAAACAAGCTCACACTTACCATCAAGATAGATATCACTTCCCAGTTCAGAATCAACCCAGAACATAGAGGCCACAGCTCCTAAGAAATGCAGTACATTTAGTTGCAAAATTGACATTTTCCAGTAAACTATCAATATTTAAACATTTCATAGAAAAACTCTGTTTGTCATCCTGTACTTGAAACTCCACTCTTCCAAACTCAGAAAGCATCACAGATGTCAAATACTCAACCACACATTTGATCTAACAACAGCTACCAAAGGATTATATTTGTGTGCACATCAACAGCTATGACTACAAAAAGCTTTAAAAATCTCACCATTTCAGATGCATGTAAGTTGTCTGAATTACATTTACTCAGTAACATCAATTATCCATCATTGCTATACTCCAGGACTCTCACATTTCTTAGAAAAATCTGTACTCCCTCTCTTCACCTTTCACACACTGCCATGGCACATGCACAAGGTGGGGAGGGAGCGGGGAAGGAGAGAAAAAAGGAGATAAAACAGTGAAAGAAAAATGGAATTGGCACACTTGGGAGAAATCTATTCCCTCCTAGGGAGGGAGGGGCCTTCTCTTCTTCACTGTCTACTGTAAACTCTCCTATGCAGTTTCTTACATCATCAATCAACAAGATGAAGAAAGTCAAGAATAACCAGACATAGAAAAGAATGTTTTCCGTAATTATCTCAGCTCTGCACAGTAAAACTTCTGGCTGTAGATAATTTAAAGACAGATCAAGTTAAGAGATACCTAATGCAGTTCAATTTGCAAACAGATAATGTACTAGAAAGGAAGTTTACAAGGGTAAATCATGCCTGATCAATCTGTGATGACCATATCTGGCCTTCTGTGAAAAAATTATTGTATCTGTGGACGAGGGGAGAGCACTGTATACCATTTACATGACCTCCAGCAAATTTTTCAACACTGTCTTTGAAGACATTCTAGTAACCAGGTTGGAACATTACCAGCCTGAATGTAAAGACCATTAGGCAAAACTTGTTGCATTGCTAAACTCTAAAGGCTGCAGTTAATGGGACGTACCCTACCTGAAAGACAGTAATAAGCAGGGTATTGCAGAGGTCTATCCTTGGATCTAGCCAATTCAACATCTCTACCAGGAACCCAAGAGGGAATGCAAGACTGTCAAGTTTGCAGAGAACACCAAATTCTGAAAGGGACACTTGATATACCTAAGGGCAGAGCTAACTTTCAGAGGGACCTGGCCAGTCAGGAAGGAATGCCCAACAAGAACCTGATGAAAATCATCAAGGAAAAAGGTTGAGTAATCACTTAAGAACACAGAGCACCTGGCAATGACACAGGCTTGGGACAGAGTGACTAGGGAGTAAGTCTACAGAGATGTCCCTGGGGGTCCCGGTAGGTAGCAAGGCAAGCAAGCAGCAGGCTCTGGGATCTCAGGCTGTTGGAACAGAAGCATGGCTGAGGGAGGTTATTCCTCTCTATTTAGCACTGTCAAGCCCACACATGGCTAGCGCTTCAGGCATGGGGATTCCCCATACAGGAAAGACATCAATAAACTGGAGTGAGCTCAGTGTAGGATCACCAAGACAGCTGAAGTTGGAGCACAGGCCCTACAGGAGAGGCAGAGGAAATTATTTTTTTTCAGCCTGGAGAAGGGAAAGCTTCAAAGGAACCTAACAGCAGCCCCTGTAGTACCTACAGGTGAGTCACTACTGGGACCACATTCTATCATGGGCTTGGAATCTGTGACCTGATCCCTGTGTACTACACAAGGCCTAGGAGTATGCTACTCCTGCTTCCTGCTAAAAAGGCCCTGTAAAACAGATTCTAGCAACTATAGGATGTGCTGTATATTTATTTTTAAGAAAAAAATGATCATAATTTGTTATGAAACAAACTAATTTAACATATCAGTGCCACAATACAAAGGACAGCAGGAGCTGACAGCAACAACAGCCCTTGCTCTTTTCAATTATCCTTAGTTACTGGCAGGCTGTCTAAGAGTATTAAGCACATCAGGAAAAAAAAAAACCAAACTTATTCTAACACCTAAAACTGCCCACCTAAAGTGACAAGATGCAGTCCTTCAAACATCACTCTGTATCAACACCAAATACCTGTCAATTGTTCAGAGTGCTTACTCATGCAAGATACGGCAAGGGCCACAACATCTAATGGGTTTCTGGTATCGATTTTTCTTCCAAAAAGCTTAATAGTTTTCCAATTTGACTCAAATAGAATTTGTGTGTAACAGAGGCCAAATCAATGTCCTTTCTTTTGAAGAAAATTACTTTACCATGACAACTATTTAGCTGTGAGCTAGGAAGTGTCAGTCTCCTAAATGGGAAACAACTGAACTTCTGAAAAGAATTTCCTTCACTCTCAATTAACAACACATTTTTAATTGATATGGTTCTGCGAAAATAGCTTTAGATAGCTAGTACTAACACGAACTCAAGTTTAAACACCTTTTTAAAATACTTATCACTAAAGAGCACACAAGGAATTCGCAAGATCTATTATTTTTCCGTACCTACCAGATGAATGTGTTAGTGTCTTTTGCAGCATATTTTACAACTTCACAAAATATAAGGCCTATCACAACCAATGTAACAATACATCAGATGCTAGTAATTTATACTTCAGAAGAAGCAATGTAGAACAGCAAAAGCGTACTGAAAACCACTATTTTGAGTGTGCTTCTCTTCTTCAAGCCTAGTGTCTTCTCCTGATAGAAATATATTTTAACTGGATTTCTGTTAAGCTTTAGAGCCAATTTAGAGCAAGCTAAAAAAAAAAAGAAAAAAAAACACTCACAACCCTGCTCCTGCACCTTATCTAATTCAGTTTTAGTCTACACAGCAATAAAAGCATGTGCCTGAGAACACAGAACTTATTACATTTTGCACAGTGAACCGACTGGAGAGCAAATAAGCACTTCATAAAAACAGAATGTTTATCATGGTTATGAAAATCATATGTGAACTACCTGGATCTGCCAAACCAGTTGTTTCTAACAATATATAGTCAAATTTTCCTCTCCTTTGCATCAGGTTCTCAATAGCCTTCACACCATTGTCCCTGCAAGAAGAAACAATTAAACCTGAGAACAGAGAAAACAAGCTAGGACATGTATAAGTACATATATTCTGATGCAGAACAGAGTGTCATCAAAGCAAAGGCCTGACTCAGGACTTATAGTCTAGAATGAAAAACTCAGTCATCAAGCTGCTGCTCTAACATTAGGCAAATTGTAGTCTTCTGTTTTATTTTAGTCTCAAAATGGCATTTGCCTACTCCCGATAGGCATAATAAAGAGGATTTAAATGAAGATTTGTTTTCAAACACTGAAAACCCTGAAAATTACAGTAAGTCTGTGTAAATATGTTAAGTATTTGATTCAGCAGCTGAGATTGCAAAGAAAAGAGCCGTGTGGAGAGGGGTGGAGGAACTGAACCATGTTCTCCTGCCTTTCCACCTCACCTACAGCAAAATTAAGATGTGTAATTTACTTAAATCTCAGCCAATGACGTCAGCGTGAAGCAGAAATGTATGCCATTTTGTATAAGAAAACAATGTCTATAAAAGACAGCAGCAATTGCAGCATCTCCTACATCCCAGTAGAACACACCGCAACAGGGTCTTCTGTGTCCCACTTACTATCCCAATTTAAGGCATAGCACCAGTTCTTCCAAATTTTCAGAACAAGCCAACACTTTTATTACAAACTTAGCACAAACAACCCAGCATTCAAACAAATAGGGTAAAAACACGTCAAAGAAACAAAAACACTCCTGCTTTTAATGTGACCATCAGCTTACAATTTGGAAGACTGTGTTGCATGAGGTCACCAAAAGTATTAACCGACATGCAGCGCATGAAACACAATTTAATGTGGAAATTAAGAAACTTAGTTCCAGCTTCTCTGAACCTTTAGCTCTTTATATAGAAGTATACAATATTAACAAAAGAGGGAGAGCTCCCCAGCCTACAGTACCCCAGTGGTACACAAGCTGGCATTTAGATAGTCATTCTGAAAGACACCAAGCGCAAATCCAGTAAGGCAGCAAAAGGAAATAAATTTTTATCTCCAAAATTCCAGTTCTTGTTTTATCTGTCAGAAGTAGTCTCAATCGATACTGTCATCAATTTTAGGAATTAAATCCAGGATGTCTTTTCCTTTCTTAAATTCCCCCAAAGCGTACTGTAAGAACTTGTAAATAGTCGTTCCTTACTTTACTGAACAGCACAGGCAGCCATTTCTGAGCTCCAGCCATTCTTCATAGAGTTCTCCCCCTTGACTGATTGCCAGGGATTTCTCCAAGGCACTTCCTGGAAATATAAACAGTACTACAATTTTAATCCACAAATTTACACAACAATGGCTGCAAGAGAGATATGAAAGATTCAAACTGGTATATATTTTTACCCTTGGATTTTATTTTTTTTCTTCTGAGACCATGTTTCTGACACGTTCTTTAGAAATTATTCCCTATGAGTAACTTACAAGTCAAAGTCAAGTTGGTTCTACAAAGACTAAAACCAAGAAGATGAAAATAGAGCCTAAGTGCAATGAACTTTGCTAAAAGAAAGGGAAGTCAACTTCTACCTCCATATCAAATAAAAGGCTCTGTCCATACATTTTATTTTAAGCTGCATGATCAGAAAAGTAGCATGCATCTTTTTAGATGAAAACAAAAAACCACTAACACAACAGTGCAAACTGTAACACTGACTATGGTACAGATATGAAGTCAGAGCCACAGCAGTTAAAAATCCCTCAACATTCAAAGAAGGTTCAAAGAACCACTGACACCAAGGACACATCTTCTCATTTTCTTGATCTAGGATAATTTGTGATCTGTAAGTGACTGAGAGGAAAGAAGAGGAAATACTGTCTATCAACATGTTATTTTAATTTCCATTTGCTTGAAACTGAGTAGAACAAATGTAGGTACAGCACTTCCAACAGGGTGATATATTCATTTACTTGACTCCAAGGGACAGAATTTATGTACAAAAGAGATTAATGCATAGCATTATTTTATGAATAACTGTCAAAACACTTTTCGGCCTTCTGAAGACTGAGGTATGTCAATAATTTCAGTAATGAATTTAAAATGACAATGTTCTTGATTTCCATAAATTTCATATACTTGCGATTTTACAGACAAAAAAATGCAGGTTTACATACCTTCTCCAAACTCATTCAGAATAACTGCTATTCTTTTATTATGCTGTTCTGTTAGGATGTAATTCAGAAGAGTTGTTTTCCCAGCTCCTAAAACACAGACCATATTTCTATTAAAATGGGTTTTTTTAAAGCTTAAATTTTCAAATAAAAAGCAAATACTGTACCAAACACATGCACACTTCAGAAAAATCTAATCTGCTCTGAAATATGAGTTTTTATTCTTGTATCCTGCATCTACTATGACTATAAAAATTAATTTGTAGAGATATTTGACACCATGGAACTATCAGCGCATTACATCTCAGCTTTAAAAGATCCACAGTTTTCCATTCACTAAGTGTCAGTGCCTGATAAACTCAGAAGTCCCCCACCAGCTCGGGGGTCTCATTTTTATGTTTGTCTTAACAAAAGGTGCACTTACTCTCCCTCCCAATGCTTCTTCTGAGCAGCTCTTTTGCCATCAGCAATCACTCCTGTGCTACGAACTGCCATTAGACGAGACACTGCTAAGCAAGGTGTTCACAACCTCTGTGATACCACATTACTAATAGTTTCATCCCATGCACAAGATCACAACTAGGGAATTTGGAAAAACAACCTTCCTTCCCTGCCCTTAGGAGGTTTGGAGAGAGTATGATGCAGTACAAAGCTACAACTGTTTGAACAGCATTGACGATCCTAAATTTAACCAGATCTTTACTGTTGTCCCGGTTTGAAGTAAAACTGAACCAATTTTGTGTTCTGTAATTTTACATTTTAGCTAGGCCTCCTCTAACTCTCTGCAATTAATGGCATATTGTGAAGAAAATTGCTCGTTCTCAGCATGATAAGACCAATGTTTGTGCTACATGCCAAGGAATGGTATGCAGAGAGGCCTTTGCTTATTCTTATTGCTATAACAACCAAGGTCAGCCAATTTTCATTATTCGCCCCTTAGAGGGTCGGAAACGGAAAAACGTAGAGGGGTCACGTCTGTGGGGAGGAGTGGACAGAACAGGTGACCCAAACCTGACCAACTGGGGTATTCCATCCCATCTGCCCCATGCTCAGTATAAAAGCTGAGGGATCAAAGGGTCAACTCTCTTCCTGCAATGGCTGACATCCGAAGAGGACCCTGTCTGTTCATCTGCCTTTGATCCCGATCTCTGTGTTCCTGACTCCAGAGCTGGAATCCAGTTCCCATCCATTGCTGAGTCCAGTCTGGGACTTCCCCAGTGCCTGCCAGTGACGGGACTGTCATCCTGGGAGCTTGATACGGTTTTGTATATATTGTACTTATTTCATTATTTTTTTCTTTTTTATTTTAATAATAATTCTTCATTAAAGTAGTTTACTTCATTCTAAACTTCTAAATCTCCTTATCTTTTCCTCTCCTCTTTTGCGGGGGGAGGGGTGAGGGGGGGGATAGGGCCATCTGTCGGTCCAGTTTCGGTGATTTTGGCTGAAACCACGACAACTGTACATAACAATATTTGAGGGTCCCAAGAACTGTGTAGGTTTACGGCAGGGAAACCAAACCTCGCATGTGTAAGATTGCTATTCAGCCTGCATTTAACAGAAGCAGATAGGTGAAAAGCACCGTGATGTTAAGGGGCCAAAAAAAGCGATTTGTCAAAGGCGACCAGCACAAAGCTGGAAACAGGTTTGGTGAAAGCAGTAGCAGGAGCTCGCACGGCCGTTCAAAACCCCTCCCCAAACCCGACTAGGCCCGCCCTGAGCAGGAGCGGCGTGAGGGGACGGCGCTGAGGGGAGCGCTGCCGGGCGCCGGGCTGAGGGCTGCTCTCCCAAACGCCGCCCGCCTCTCTCTCGCTCGCCCACCCCTCGGGCACGGTGGCTGCTGCCAGCCCTGCCGAGCCCCCCCCCCGCCCCGCAGCCCCCTCCGAAGCCCAGCCTCCCACCTGGGGGTCTACCCGAGGCCGACCGAGCCGCAGGCCTGCCCGGCAGCTCTTCCCCGCCGGCCGGGGAGCGCGGCAGGCCGCTCCTCACCTAGGTAGCCTGTGATGATGGTCACGGGGATCTTCCTGCCGGGGCTCGGCTCGGCCTCCTCCTCGGCGCCGCCGGCGTCTATCGGGACGAGGTCGGGGCAGTCCTCGTCCTCCATGAGAGCCGCGGGCCCCCGCGTCTGGGCGCCTGCGGAGACGGAAGAGGCAAGAGGGCGAGGCGATGCGGGGCTGCCCGGATGGGGAAGATGCGGGGCGTCGTCCCCCCCCAAGTTCCCCTCAGCGGCATTCCCGCTTCCCCCGGACCCCGCGGCCCGCGGGGAGGGGGGGGGCGGGTCGCGGCGCGCGGGGCGGCCGTTGAGGGGCGGCGGCGGCGGGAGGGGAGCGGGGTGGGGTGGGGTGCACCTCCTCCTCACAGCGCCTCATGGGGCTGGAAGGGGCTTCTGGAGATCAGCTAGTCCGACCACACACCCCCCGCCAAAGCAGGTCCAGCCCGGTTACAGGAGAGGGGACTTGTCGGTTCTGAGCCGTGGGGAAGGCTGAAGGTGGCCCGGGCCGGGCCGGTGCGGTGGGCAGGCAGGCAGGCGGGGGCCGCGCGGCGTGGATGGACTGGGTTTTCTTTCCTTGTAATCGAATAAAATGAAGCTACAAGCCGCATGCTGGCTTTCTCCGCTTTCCGTCGGATCCCGTGAGGAGGCGTGTAGGTCTATAAGGGGTACCAATGGTGAATTTTAACAGCGGCGTTGTGTTTTTTCCGGACCGCAGGTTTAGCAAATCGGTAATACATCTTCTGCTTCTTCATGCCTAAATGTACACATCTAATAGTGTCGGCATGGAGAAGAGATTTGCCCCATGCACACTTCTGTATGCAAAGTGACAGGCTTAGGCATCTTTAGTACACAAGGGTAGCTGACAGAATCATTTGTGGAGTTCCTGTTTTCTTAACTGTGGAAGGCAGTAAATCTCATCCATTGATTACAGGATATAATTATATGATCCGTTATTTGAAGACTTTTAAGACCTGTACATGGTAAATGAATCTTTTTGCGTTCTTGTTTCAACCACTCAGGTTATGCCCTTGTGTGACGCCCCTTGTGTGACGCATCCTCTTTTAAAGGACAAACCTGATCGGTTTTTCAAAGCTGTATCTGTTAGAAGCCTGACTGATGGTCTGTGTTTTTGCTGTCCTGAGACTGCTCAACTTTACCTATTTCTCTTATTAAGGGATTAAGGGAAGAACAATTCCAGGATTTTTCACTGTGAGAAGGCTGCGGGGTGAAGAAAGAAAAAATCAGAAAGGTGTTGGGAGCTAGCAGCTTAGCATCACAAAGCATATAAAAGGCCGTAAGTTGTCTTTCAAAAATGAGAATATTTGTAATACTGAAATTTCATTTACATGTCAGTGAGACATCTGGTATTGGGGAAGAAAAAGGTGATGAAACTAGCGTCCTGGTTCTTTACGCTGTTCTGCTTTTCATCAGTTCACGTGACACTGTTCTTTATTTTTCTTTTGAACAAAAATGACTGAAATAAATAGTGTGGTTTCTGGGTTTCCTTTTAGTTTGTTTAAAGTTTATATTAAAATACTATAATTTTGCTGTAAGTATTGACTGTCTTTGCCTTGCTGCTGAATTGTGTAATAAAGCCCACTTTGCAAAGGCAGATGCAAACCCTGCCTATTTTATCGTGGTGGCAGCTAAAATGAGCATCGCAAGGCTAAATCTGGGTGACACAGTTGGAGTGTTTATTCTAAGCTGTTTGTAGACCAGACGTACAACATAAGAAAGCCGCAAAGTGTCGATGGGTACCAGGAAGTGGCCTTCAACTATCGCTTTGTGTGGCTGCCATTGAAAAAAGCTAGTCCTTTCCCAAATACTGAAGACCTCGGTGCAAGTAGAGCCATTTGCTTCAGGCTGATTTCAACGAACAAAAGTGTTTCAGGCTGTTATTCTTAGAGGAGGATTGAGGAAGAAGAGTGTAAGACCCACAAAAATAAGGAAGAGGCTGCACTGAAGGGCACTGCAACTTACTGATTCCCGATTCAGTAACAAGAGGAGCGTGATCTGATTGAAACAACCAGGAAAGGGAACCACTGGCATTTCAATGTTAAGTGGAATATAATAGTCCTAAAGCGTCATGGCTGCTGGAGAAAGGAGGTTTCTTTAACCTGCTACTAGTCTCTATAGTACAATGTCATTCAGGGTAACTGAGAAGGGGATTCGTGCAAATTCATACAATGATGCAAGAATTTTTGGATTACAGTTAACCTGCAAAACAATACGGAAACAGAAATTAAGTTCAATTTTGTGATCAGCCCAGCAGTTGCTGAGCAGGCCCATGTATATCTCAAAATATAAGTTGGTAAATAGAAGCATAACTTTAGTATGATTTGCATGCTCCCCTGGGGACATTTACTTTTTTCTTGCCTGTTACCCATGTTTAACTATTTCTATATTAAAGCATCTGTATTTTCTTATCAGTACTTGGAGTGAGAGCTTCTCCTGACAACTAGACTTTGTTTTTCTTTGAAGAATGAGGATTATTCATGTCCTGTAGGAGAAGGAAGATCTTTTAAAAACACCAACACTGCTTCAGTCACTGCACCTGCTGCTTTTTAACACTCCTGGTTTTTATGTCTTGTGCTCAATATGCTGGTATGATGTGAAACTTAGTGAAACTGAGAACATTAGAATAAAGGTATGACTAATAGTCAGCATTTAAATATCAACATACGTCATATAGCAAGTTGCCTAATTGGATGTAAGATGATGGTGACAGTAAGGGAAAATTTTACCAGTGTTGTCTTTGCTTAAGTTCTGTTTTACTGAGCAAAGAAACATATTTCTTTGAGAAACTCTCTGTTGAGGATCTGGCCAGTAACATTTTCATATATCCAGAAGAATTTGAACAGACAAATGGAAAAAGAAGATATGCTTTCACATAGTTGGGTTTGTTGTTGGTTTTTTTTGAAGTCAAGTGTTTTATGAAAAAACAGAAGGCTGCAAAGTGATCTAAGTTCCCTTTCTCCTGTTTCACCAACACAGAAATGAAACCTAAGCCTAAGTGATTTTTCTTTGTTTTTTTAAGGAAGGTTCAGTCTTTCATTGCCAATCTACTTAATACATCAGTTGGATTAATGGAAAATTACACTTATTTTGCTGAGATTTAGCCTACTAATTTTCATACAACATTTTTTTTGTTTAAAGCAATCTTGAATAAATCACTTAGATTTCATTGGATACAGTCAAGATCTCTGCCAGCGAGAGCACTGAGCTTGACAGCATGTCAGCTTCCTTTAAGGACTAGAGAGTGCCTGGTTGCACTGGATACATTATGCTGTTATAGCCAGTGATGATGTAAGAAGGTGGAATATAAGCAAACCTTAACAAGCATTGTGTGCTGCTGGCAGGTACTGAGATCATCATAGTTTTCCTGTTGTTGTGAACCTCCAGATGCTCTTACAAGATAATCAGATAACACTTATTCATTACCGAAGTTCTATACCGCTGGTGTATTTTGCCAAGGATGCAAACTTGCCGTTGAAAAAGATGTTGAGAAAACTCCCATGGGCTCAGTTGCTCATCGAGCATCAAAGGTACATCCTCTACAAATAAGCAGGTGATACTTAAAGCTTCAGCAGGTCTTTGTCACCCATGACTATCCTGGGCCACGAAGTTGTGTAATGATAGGCATGATGCTGTAATACTCTATCATGCAATAGCGTTCTTTGCACTGCTGGTGAAGAAGTGCCTGCTAATGTACTCTTTTAAGAAAAAAGGTGTTTGGAAATGTGTGTCTTAACAGAAGAAAAGTCCCCTGGTAGGTGGTGTATAGACATGCCAATTATTGCGTCTTCCAGCATGTCCCCAACCCCAACTTGTAAACTCCTTCAAAACAACAGGCAGCAGTAGCCATTCTCCCAGAAGCACATGCCCAAGCTGTGTTGTCCTTACCATGGCTCAGCTGCTCTTCGTGGCTGGTCCTGTAGCTCCTCAGCCTGCCCAGGCACAGCAACCAACCAGCCCTGGACCCACCACCTCCGGGTCAGGTTGCAGGAGGAAGACCAAAGCCCAGTGAGAGCATTTGAAGCCCAAGTGGAATGAATAGAAAGCGTGGCTTTGTGATTGATTCTGGGGGTGAAGTGATATGACGATGATTAGGACCACCATCTGGGATGCACATGTGTGCAACGGGAGGATGGGGATGAGGAAATGGGGAATGGAAGCATGGTATGTACTGCATCATGTGCCAGACCCACCAACAGCTGCTGCCGTCCAAGCAAGCTAGGTTTGGAAAAACATGGTCCGTTACAAGTTGCATTCTTTGCTTTTCATTTTGTGCTGCCTTCACTGGCACCTGGCTTGATATAATTTTTGTAATGTCCTGACTGAAAAGATCTTGTTCTACTTCTGGTTCTCAAGGCATGATTAGACTTCATGACCTTGCATATAGTAGGTCTGTTTCTTGCAGGAATACAAACTATAGTGTTTAAAAGCAAACTGGAGCAGCACTCTTGCCAACACTTAACTGGATAAGATTGTTTAAAAAGATGGGTTTACCAACATCTTACCTGGTAGTACTCCAGTGAGTTAAAACCATATAAGCTCTCTTGACACAACTTCAATTTTTGTTCTCCTCTCCTGCCTGCCCCCCCAAAAAAAAGGCAATGGGATTGTTGACATAATAGATGAAAATGAATATTTGATGAGTTTTTCTGTCATATGCTGGTAGAGGCTGTTGATAATTCAGTTCATCCAAAAAGATGAAAACTTATAATTATCTAAGTGTTTGGTATGTAACTGCTGAATATACTAGCAGTTTTGGAAACCTTACTTTTGTATGTCTCCTCAGGCCCTTTTCCTGCATGTGACAAATATTTTTGAGTAATCCTTTTGTCTATGCTTACCAAGAATGCAACTGTAAAATAAATAGTTGTATCATTCATAAATGGGTATATTCATTCAGGTTGTGATGTTACCTGCATTGCTGCTAGCTCGATTTGTGTGGTCAGATTTGGCAATCAAGAAAGGTCTTGCTTCATGCCCCATGCGCTGTTACAAAGAAGCCTGGACTCTTTTTCTTATAGCTTCAATAAAAAAATAAGGTAGTGGCTTCTTGAGTAGTTAGCAGTTACAGAGATACAGCTAGAAGAAGAAACATCTTCCTCTCTTAAACAAACAAACAAAAAATGACAACCCA